ATCATGTTAGTAGAGGTCGATCTTTGATCGGGCGAGCGAGGGTGCTCATTTCGACCTTCCCCAATCGTATCCAAGTTCCCGAGCTGAGGCAACTTTGGTGATGACGGACACGTGGCCTTAGGCACGAGTCAGGGTTTCCTAAATTTCCCAAAAACAAAATATTTAGGTGGCGACTCTGAAATCTGGCAAAACAGTTTATGTTTGGCACTTCATTATAAAAATCAATTTTCCAAAACGATTTGCCGGATTTGAACTCTTTGGTGATTTATCAGTCTTGCATTGCACTTTGCGAGGCTAGATTCAGAACCGTGACATTGAGTCCGAACTGTAGTATGCTAATGAACAAAACAGATTTTCGCGCCTTCGCGCATGAAGCCGGGATGTTCGGACACGTCTACACACGTTCGCTTTGTGTGCCCAATGCATTTGCAATTCCCACATTTTCTTGGTCTTCGACAGTTGGACGAGGCCCGTCCTGGGTTCCCTTTTGTCTTCACAACATCAGGATCTTCTACTCCAAATTGTCGAGGGAATGAATGTTTCCCTTTGTCTCCATTCCCACTGTTCAAATTCCTCTCATATAACTCCTTCATCCGGGTCGTCATTGGAAGACATGCATCCCTAGCATCCTTGAAACCTTCCGTTGATTGCGAGGCATAGAAACACATTTCGTTGTAGGAAGAACACAATATCCCATACCGGGCCGTCTGTGTTGTAGTGCTATCAATTGAGGGTTGAGGCCATTGCTGGCCATCCTTGCTTGCAGCCCTTGTCCATCTATGCAGCACACAAGTTGGGGGAATTTGCGTTAAATTTTCAGCTTTCATAACACATATCATGTGGCAGCAAGGTAGCCCCAACGACTCAAACTTCATGCAAGAACATCTCATTGCAGCATCCATTGGACTGTGTGTTACTATCCATGATCTGTCCTTCACTTTGTACTTATGAATATAGTAGCATTTTTGACCATCCGGCAAAGGGAACATGTCCTTGACATTCAACTTCCCCTCTTCTAAGATTTCATCACGGAACATTCTAAATATATTTCGGGTGAATAGCCCAGCTCCATGTCTCTCTATATCTCGCAATGGAGTAATCAATATCGGAAAAGTGTTATTTGTTTCAGCATCATTTCCAGCCTCGTTATACGTAATCAATACCGGAAAAGTGTTATTTGTTTCAGCATCATCTCCAGCCTCGTTATACCTTATCCTTGCAAGAGCCCGATCATAGTGCCTAACAAATTCATATAGCTTCAATTTGTGTTGGAGGAAGGGATTGAAATAAGCATTCATACACTCCGAGCGCTGAGTGCTCTTCATCCCAGCAAAGAAATGTCCACGCATATATGCCTCAGCCCACATATGACGCTTCTCATATGTCTCCAACACCCAACTGTTGGTTTGAAGTCCAAATTCTTCGACCATTGTCGTCCAGCCATGCTCAAACTTTGTCTCATCCGTTTCCATGTCCATGCACTGCTTGAAAGCATGTGCAAAGCCACTTATGTGAACATTTGAAACAGCATTTTTCCCAAGATGCCAATTACATAATCGATGTCTTGCATCTGGAAATACTCTTCTGATTGCCTCTCGCATCGACTTATCCCCATCTGTCAGTACGGACACAGGTGCTTTATTGCCCATCGCCTCCATAAATGTTTCCAAAACCCATGTGTATGTCTCAATTGTCTCATTAGCTAGCAAAACACATGCAAATATCGTGGTCCTAAAGTGGCAAGTCACACCAGCCAACATGACAAAACGTTTCTTGTATGCATTGGTTCTGTAAGTTGAGTCAAATATCAACACATCACCAAACTTTGCGTAGTCGGCCCGCGATTTCGAATCTGCCCAGAACAGATTTTGTAACTTGTTATCGTTACACACATCATACTTGTAAAAAAAATGTGCATCAATATCAAGTTTTGCGCATAGGTAAACCAACGCACCCTGCGCATCACCATCCTCAACTTCTGCTCTACGTTCGGCTTGAATATGGTTGTGCACATCCGTACGGATGAAACCAACATTCTCATAAGACCCGGACTGATTTACCATATAGTCCATGATTTGGCTAGTCTTCACACTAACATTGCGCATAGCCATTGCTTGAGCTTTGTCAGCGCTGTTTAAACTGCGATGTGACCTCAGATACATCATACAGTGTTGTTCCGCCAATTCATGGTTGTGGTCTGCGACGAAGTGAGTCACAACATACTTTCCCCCTTCACCAGCATCTAGGGGTGTGCATAATACCGCCGAAACCGTCGAAACCGCCGAAACCGTCGAAACCGCACCGAACCGCACCGCCAAGGCAAATTCGTTATTATTTGCCAATCGAACCGCCGGTTTTTGGTAAGAAAAATGATAAATTCTAGTGACACTTTTATCAATCCGCCGGTTTCTATTTTTCTTCCAAACCGCACCGACCCGCACCGCTATTAAATCATGTTTTATAAGATTCTAAAAATTCTTTTTTACTTAAGTTTGCTTGTTGTTCTATACCTTAGAATATAGTATTACATTACTGCTCGAGAGGAATTCAAGATGTCAGTAATCCAAAATAAAGTTGGATTCCAATTCACTTTTCAAGATGCTTAACATCACGGTATCTCTCGTCTTTTTTTTACTCTTTGATTTAAGTTTTGTAATTTGAATTATATTTTTTATAAACCGCCAATCCGCCCGAACCGCCAAGGCAAATCCGTCATTGTTAGAATTTACCATCCACTACACTACACCTCTCCACACCTACCATCTCCACTAGCACCCACTTCACCTACCACCTCCACTACACTACACCTACTACCACCTTCTTTTCTATTTATAGAAGTTGTAATTTGTAATCAAATACATATCAATCAATAACAATCAATATTACATAAATTTCAACAGTTTATAAATTTGGCCAAAAAATATAAACTCAAAAAATATGTTTCCGTTTTGAGTTTTTAGTTTTTTTTTATTACCCAACACTAGCCACCACCCGCCACCATTTTCCACCACCGTCTTCCGCACCACCACCCACCCCCCACCACCACCTGCCACCACTACTCACCACCCACTTGCCACCACCCGCCACCACCAGCCACCAGCCACCAGCCACCTGCAACCCACTCGTCACCACCATTCACCCCTCACCGCCGCCGCCACCACCACCACTACTATCACCCAGGTACACACCATCTCTACCACAATCACTGTCGTTACCACCATGCCACCATAACTACTATTACCAACACCTTTATTATAATTGTTATTATTGTCAAAAGTATCACTATCATTTTCACTACTACTAATGTCATGTTTGTGTAAACACAAACACAAACACTCGCTTGAGAAAGAGAAAGAGAAAGGTTAGCTGCCAATGTAGGGGTTTCCGTTGGAGCGAAGCGTAGAGCGGTTGAAGTTAGGATGGGGGTTTAGTTGAGGGAAAATAGCTGAAGTAAACGAGCCAGAGAGACAGAGAGGGAGACAGAGAGAGGGAGACAGCTCCATACCTCATATCTAGTTCGAGAGAAGGGCTTCACTTCAGCAATGGAACCAATACAGCCTTGTAGTTACGTTGTTGTTGGAAATCGCCCGTTATACTGTTCCTTACAGAGCTTCGTCAATGGAACGAACCCAACAGGGGCTTCTTCCTGTTAATGGAAATCAACAGTTACACTGACTCAACCTTACACAGAGAGGAGAACAGAGAGAGATAGAGACGAAATACAGTGAGTGAGTGGGATGCAATCATGCAAATACAAGCATTAACCGGTTGCCCCGGTTTCAACTTTTTCACGATTAAATAATTTAATGGTCTTGATCAATTATTGTGATCTAACAGCTAACAATTGGGTTGCATATGGTGTGCAACCTTAAGGGGGTTGCACACTTAAGCATGACCCTTTTATCTAAAGTGTGTTTGTTTCTTTCCACAGACAAATTTGTTTTTTTTTAACTATCTATTTATTTATTAGTATTACCCTCGTTAAAATGGGCCATAATGCACAAGCGTTCAAAAAAAAAAAAAAAGTTAAAAGGAAATTTGATTATTTTGATAGTTTACTCCCTGCTTATTATTTTTTTTTAGGGAATAAAAAATGGATATATAGATAGATTATTCTGCATATAGAGAGTATTGCTCTTTACCACTCACAACACATTTTTAGGGGACTCATTTACATCGAAGCCAAAGCTAAGGCGTCTGTATGCTCTGCATACTAAGAAATATGTTTAACTTTGACAAAGAATTATGAAAACTTAAATCTAAATTTTGAACTATAAATTTAAAATTCTACCACTGAACCAACCCCCGTTGGTTACTCCCTGTAACTATCGTAACATGGGTATAGATTATGACAATTTTAATCTATGAGGGTATATTATGATGATTAAAATGAAATATAACCATTAGGACTACTTTATCAAATTTCTCAAAAAAAAAAAATATATATATATAAATTTGTAAACATTCACTGCTAATCATCTTTAATGTCAAAGAGTACCAAATCTTAACCTTCCCTCAAGCCTTAACTTCACTTTCAAGAAATATTTAGCCTACCTATATGCTAACTATTGGGTTTGTTTGGAACGTGAGTTGATTTTTTGGCTATTTTAATCTGGAGTTAAAAAGTCATGTTTAAGATAGATTTTTTGATTTTTTTGACTTTTGTGAGAGAAAAAATAAAATGATTATAATTTAAATGTGACATTTTATTTTATTAATTTTTTAATTTATTTTGTCTTTTTATGACTATTTTAGTCCAAAAAAAAATCTAAAAAGTCAATATGCCAAACGAAGGCATTGCATGCTAATAATTTTAAACAAATAAAATATAGTTTAAAATTGGTTCATCGAGATCCCTTGTAATTTTTAAATGTTGTTTGTCATTGGACTATGATCGTTTGCTTAGCCGACTTTCTTGATCTAATTTCTTTACATATAAATTGTGAATTTTTGCACATGACACTACAGGAAATCGTATTTTTGCCGATTAAAACTAAAAACCAAAAAACCAAGGCCCCTACTTGGCTTGGTTCCGCTCATTTGCAGCCCTACTTGTGACCAGCAATGGTATGAAACTATTAACATCAGCAAAAACTCAAAGAGGTGGGATAAAAATTGAATTGTTAGTTTCGACGACAATCACCACCCAACCAAATGCCACCTCCAAAATTAACTAGCAGATCCCAAGCTTATCTTCAATGAAATTGTCCCCATAGAAAGCATATTTCCAATATCACATTCTTAAATTCAATTAAGCATTTTGAGTAGCAAGCTTCATCTAACCATATAAAGTAGAGGACCATGTTTAAATTTAAAGACATCAAACTAAAAATCAATTAATAATAGACGGAAAGACCTATAGACTATCTAAAGCCTCGTTTGGGGATATGCTATCACTATAAGAAATTACACTTTTGGCGATTAAAAAAAATTTAGTTGCCAAAAGTTGTAGAATTGACGACCAAAAATTATATTAGTTGGAAAAAGTATGTGGGTGTTTGGGAAGTGGGTTTTTATGTAGGGTTTTTATAGCGATCCTGGTTTTTCCTCCATTGGTTGTTGTATTCCAGACTCGGTTCCGTGGATGTCGGCTGTTGCATATGTTTCATTTCTGTCCTTTAATTCTTTATATTTGAGTTTTAGGATGTGTTAGGCAGGTTTATAACTGGTTGGGTGTGTTTTGAAGCAAATGGTTGCTACCCAGATTTTGGTGTCTTCGCTCGAGCGAGGCTTTTGTCGCTCGAGCGAGCTCTGTGTTTTAGTTCCTTCGTTCAAGCTAGGGTTCCTTCGCTCGAGCGAGAGTTGGAGGGTGTGTCTGCTGGCTCGAGCGAGAAGTCTTGCACTCAAGCTTGCGTCTGCGTCTGGTTTTGGACCTGAAGGTTGCATTTCTTGGCTCGAGTGAGCAAGGACTATGTTTTGGGTTTCTTGGCTCGAGCGAGCTTTTCTTTGCTCGAGCATGCTTCTTGGTTGCAGACCTGAAGCTTCGCATTGTTAGCTCGAGCGAGGCTTTCTGCGCTCGAGCGAGGTTTCTTTGTGTCTGGTCGCTCGAGCGACCACTCCTTCGCTCGAGCAAGCCTCGAATATATCAGTTGGCAGCAGCGGGTTACACTTCACTTTTTCATTATATCTTTTACACAAACCCTAGCCCCGACTGCTCCTCTCTCTACACACACACACTCTCTCTCTCTAAGATTTCATCTACTTCTAGAGTGTTTCTACCCTAATTTCTTTGTAAGAAACATAGAGGGTGGCGTGGGCTTCACTTTAATATGAAAAATCGTGGATTTGGAGCACTTCGAGCTTTCTTCATCTTCTCCATTTGGTCTCTTCATTTGAGGTAGGGATAACCTACTCCTTTCTATGGGTTTTGACATAGATATTATGTATGTTGTGTAAGTGGTGGATTATGGTAATTTTTGGAAAAGTTAGGGTTTGTTTGAGGTTATAAAAAGGGGGTTTTTAAATGTTAAAATCCGTGTGTATATGGGACTATGGAAAATGGAATCATTGTTGTTGAATTGATGAAAATATGCCTTAGGGCTAAAGTTGGGAAAAATGGGGAAAAACCCTAATTCAATGTGACTAATTAATTTGTATTATTAATTTGAGAAAGTATGAGAATGTGAAATTGAGTTGGAAATTATGAAATTGGGAAATTATGAGATTGCATCGTGTAGTTGGATAAATAAATCACTCACCAATGAAAATGTTGATATTTTATCTGTTTGATAAATATATTATCTGTTTAGAGATAATTGCTTTGGGCTATAGGTGGAGGATAGTCTTGATTGGTGTAGACACTGTATGTTGATTAGGGAAAACTGAAACTAATCACATTGAATATGTCATTGAATATGACGGTTGGAATAATACATCGAATATGTGTATTGATTGATCATTGTACATGATAACTATTTAAATACATTGTATATGTATATTATTTGGGAGGAGATAGGGGATGTACTCCATGGTTTGGGAGGAGATAGGGGATAGACTCCATTGATAATTAAGTTGGCCGGAGTGTCCAAGGTGAAAGTCCCGAAATCCTGATTACGTTTGCATAACGTAGATAATTGAAGTATTTGAAGTGTTTTTGATATGAGTGTAGTCTTATTTATTTGTTTGGCTAGATAATGAGCCATGTTTATAAACTTGAATTGGAAGTAAAGAGAGGTGTAATGAAACATGAACGTATTTGTCATGAAACTGGAAAGTGTTGTAAGTTAGTTTACAAGTGTTAATCATCTATCGAATGTTAATGTTTTAGTTATTTCTCATATTTGGTTTAGTATATCTCTACTGGGCTTTGGCTCATCCTATATGGGACATCATTTTCAGGTACAGGTGATATGCCACATCCAAGAACGTAGCTTGGGAGGCTTTGAGGTTGATAGCTCCTTTTGTTGTTTTCTTTTGGTATTACATGTAAATTCAAGCCAAGTGCTTAATGTGTATTTGAGTTAGTACTCTCTTTTTGTAACCAAGTGTTGGCTTGGAAAGTTGTAACCCCGTAGGGCATTTACTTATGTTGTCAACATGTAATACTTTTGCAATGAATACTCTGATAAATGGAAACATGCTTTATTCTCATATGTCTATGGATATCTTGAATGTTGGATTTATGTATTATTTTGAGGATATTATATTTTTTTAGTTATAGGATAATATTGGAGAAATTTTTTTTTGTGTTTGGAAAGATTGTTGGGTTTTTTTTTTGTGGTTAGATGTGATGTTTGTGAGAGAAAAAGTGAAATGATTATGGGATTTGATGTGATATTTTGTTTGGATTTATTTTTTTTGGTTTTGCAAAAACTGTCTTTTAGTGAAAAAAATAAAAAAAAACTCAAAAAAAATTGTTGCCAAACACTGCCTTTAGCTACTAATTTTTTTTAGTTGGGGTATATTACTAAAAAAAATTTAGTAGCTAAAAATGCCACAATTGGCCGCTAAAAAATATTTTAGTCGCTATATAGTTAGTTTTAGCTACTAAAATTATTTAGTTGCCGAATGAAAAACAAAAATTTACTTATTATCTTTGGCAACCAAAAGTTTGGTCGGCAAAAATTTAATTTCAGCGACTAAATATATATTTTATCGCTGTATAGTTAGTTTTGGCTACTAAATTTATTTAGTCACTGAATGAAAAACAAAAAATTACTTTTTATTTTTGGCGACCAAAAGCGTGGTGGTCAAAAATTTATTTTCAGCAACTAAATGAATTTTAGTCGTTATATACTAACTTTTGCC